TTTGCGCACTTTCCGCAATATTTGCCAGCGCATTTTTTGCGATTTATGATCCGTGCGCGCTCCCTGCCGGCAATTGCAACGGATATAAACATTTTTGAACTCATTTCAACTTCACATATCTGCCAGCTATCTGCTATCTGCTATCTGCCAAAAGGGGGCAGGGATTAAAGGGGAAGCGTTTATGCTGCTGCCTCATGAAATGGCACGTGTCGTTGCTGCGAGTACCTATACAGATAGATACGAGTGTATATAAATTTCGTTCACATCTCCTTTTTTGTGCTTGTTGTTAGCTCGGCAAAGTCGCTGCAATCCAGTGTGCTTATGTTTCACTTTTCACAACATAAATCCCCCAAGCAGCCGTAGCCGCAGACTCAGCCAAAGTGCTGCAGGTAGTCAACTAACATGCCAGCTCCTAGGTACAGATACGCAGATACCAAGATACAGAGATACAGCTGCTTACTTAGCAGCAAGTTAGACAAACTTCACTGAGCCGTTGAGCAAAAATGTAAAACGCTGAGCTATTTATTTAGATAACCGCGCGGCTTTGCAAGCGACTTTTGTCAAGTAAAAACTGTAAAGGAATCTGAGCCATGCATTATGCTCACTTCGTATTATTATTATTATTTGCTGGCCCGTCTGACAGCTGAAGGCTTAAGGAGCTCCTCCTAGCTTATAGTATATAGTTGAGCAGCTCCTGTTCCTGCTGTGCTCTACTCACATATAATTCAGATTCTTTGAGCAGAGTCAAAGTTCGTCTTACCAAACGACAAAATCATTTCCAGTCTAACATTTTTTCTTCCATTTTTTCATTGTGCTGGCAAAGTATTATTTAATTTCTTCGCTCCAGTCGGCCTTTCAATTTTCCATATTTTTGCGCTCCTTATTTAGCACAAAGTAATGGCCACGCGGCCATATTAAAATACAGAGTATACATATTTAAGTGCATCACAGCCGACCAAAGCAAAAGTGCAGCCTGGCAATAGAGGGGCGGGCCAGGCGGGAAGAAGTCCTGGACGTTGCTCGTCCGGCAGATAGTGAAGGCACCGTCAGAACTTTGGAAATTATTACTCTGCTTTGTTTTCGTTGCATTCAAGAAACGCGCTGCCGCTGATGATGTTGCTGCTGCCAAGCCGGCGGCTTGCTCCAGAACTGGACTATGCGTAACCCAGACTCCCGACCCCCGACTGCCGCTTTCTGTAGCTGCAGGCTAGCTGTGGTTAAGTCGCGAAGCACCTACAAATTTCTGAATATAGTTTCGCCAACTCTTCTGCCAGTTAATCTTTAAGAATAATATTTTTGATCGCAGATAACTTGAAGGATTTTAATCTAATTGCCGCCAATGAAGTTGCTAGATTCTTAGCTTACTTTTTTCTATTATATAATTTGTGTTTTGTTTTGTAATATTCAATGAATATTTCAATTTAATACTGTTAAATGATATATTGTTCTTTTTCAAATTGTTATCATTGTTGACTTTAACTTCAATTTATTTTGGTAGAATTTTTATTTGTACTCCAATTTATAGTTTAGGCAAATATTGCATGTATTTAAACAATTTAAGTTTCACAACTGCCTTAAAATATAATTCGTAATCAAATATATTATTAATGCCAAAGCTGTAGCTCATCTTGCTGTCCGTATGCGGTTTACTAAATATATCTATTAAGCTGCCTCTCGGTTTGTACTTAATGGCTGCTTCATTTCTGTGGCGTTGCCGTCTCTGTTTGGCTGCGTGGCATGCATTTCTACTTTCGCTCATTAATAACGTAAACCAAGAGGAATACAACACAAGTTGCAACAACTTCAAAATAACAACAAGAACAACAACAACGACAAGAAAAGCTTACAGCGTTGACTGGCCACGAAACTTCTACGAAAAACCAAGTCAAAATTGAATTATGAATATTTAAAACGAAATTAAAGCAATGCAGCTGACGCAAGAGCTGCGTTTAACGTTTTCGAAAACACAATATCGAGGCTAACTTTAATATGGCCCATATACCATTCTATATGTCAAGCGAAGCGATGGTGTCGAAACAATTTTCGCCACTAGTGCAATTAATAAATAGTAAATGCGCCCGAAAGTATGCAATAAAAATATGCAACAGTAAATTGCGTTGCTTGGCCGGGCGACAACGTTGCCTAAGTAAATGTCAAGCCTGGCATAAATAATTCACCGGCAACACAGCTTCAACAGCTATGGCAACATCATCAACATGCACAAGCACACGCACACACACAGTGGCATTGTCCTTGCAGGCAACATCATGCCTCATAAATTTCAACAAATGCAGCCATGTCAGCCAGCTAGTCACTCACTCAGTCAGTCAGTCAGTCAGTCAGTCAGTCAGTCAAGAACACCTACTGGCTGCTGCCCCGCTGACGTGTTTAAGTCGTGACGGCTGTTGTCCAGCCGCACCGTTTCGTCACAGGAGAAATTGCTCGAGGTGAAAATCTTTGCACTAATGGCGCTGTTTTACATAATTGCCGTGACATTGTACAAATTTATTCAACTGCATGTGGGCATGTGAGCACAATGTGACCTCCAAATAAAAAACGAGTAAAGAAGGAAAAAATATATGGCAAACACAACTGCAAACTAGTGAGAACACTCTGTTTGGCAGTGCCCGACTATGAGATACCCCGAGTTTCTATTTTGAAACATACTTCATAGCTTTATCTATGCATACACGAACAAAAAAATATTTATTTAAGCATGCAAAATGTAAACTTTAAATGCCTTATAAATGTTAATTAATAACAAAGTAAATTCCCTCCCTTACGACTTGAACTTGCCTCATCACAATTAAATTAAATATTTAATGGGGGACGACGAACCTCAGCTTCCGCAATATCCCATAACAGTTACTAACAGCCCCTAGCAACTCCGTCATTCCATAACTATTAAATCCAAATCTGATTGTGCTTTACATTTAGAGAATTTACACACATATATCAAATATAGTAATAATATAAATGAGCACAGAAATTGGCGCTAATTGCCACTGTTGATTGTTGCTAATTGTTAATGATTATTTGATATAAGCACGTATAATTGACGGTCACGAATATGTATCCATTATAGGGTCGGCCAAGCTTCGTTCTGGCTGCTGAATCCCCATTTGGTTAGGGTACAAAGATAAAAATAAAGAGATGTAAAAGTGTTGCAGCAAGAACCTGGACTTATGCACTCATGCCGCCAAAGGGCTTGGCAAACAAGTAACTATATCAAAAATGAATAGCTTACTGTGCCTCGCATAGAGACCCTAAAGCACCCCTGCCCAACCTTTCATTTTGCCCTGACTCGTCCCATTGTCTAACAATGAAAAGGCTGCCACAGAGCGCTTTGTGCCACATGCGACTCATGCCTTAGAAATATAATAAGGCAACATCAACAAGGGCAAACAAACAAGCAGAAGCACACATATAAGTCATAGAGGGACCATGTTACCTCTGACGCACTGACTGCCTGACTGCCTGACTGCCTGACTGCCTGACTGCCTGCCTGACTGACTTGCATCCTTTTTGCACAACTTGCTCGTCCTTAACCTCCTCAACGTCGTCCTCGTCGTCGTCTTCATCATTGTCACCTTGAGCTTTGGGTTATTGGGTTTTTGCACACTCGTCCAAGCGTGTGCCTTGCACTTCACTCGATCTCAGTGTGGAAAACAGCAACAACAACAACAACAGCAGCAACACCAATCCAGTGTGACCACAAGGAATTTCAAATATTCTACAAAAATTTAAATATTGATGGATGCGGCTTGACAGCAACTTTCCTCTGTTTTTGACTCATTCCAATTCCAAAATTCTTTTGTTTTAAGAAATTTATAGCATGCTTCAAGTGTTAACTATTCACATCATCAGATTGTTAAAAATATAAAATATAATTTAATAACTTTTAAATAAATCTTAAAATGTATTTTATAATATATTCGTTTAACTATCAGTCCATGAAGTGAAGAATTCTTTTGGAGCCTTTTACAATTACTAATTCCTAATAAATGTATATACTTATTCGAGAATCCAATGAGACATTACTCAATATAAAACTAAACTAAAGCCTCATGATTACCAATTCAATAAAAACCTAATATATATTAACTAAATTATTAATTATTAATTATTGTTAAACTTGCACTATTAAAAAACTCAAATATGCCTAATAACTTTATTATTCAAATGTGACAATTTAATTGATTTAACCAACAAAAATTGTTTCTTGTGGGAATAAGAAAACAAAATCGATTCCCCAACTGCCTGCAGGAACGAATATGCTCGCATGTTTGTGAGTGAGCGCTGCACAAAAACGGCTGCAAACAAGCAAACAAACAACTTTGACTTTGACTTTCTAACTCTGCCTTCACCCTGCACTTTAGATGCCTCTAAGACCGGCCGCCCCTAGTGCCCCCCATATGGGCGCCTGCGTGTGAGTGTGTGTGTCTCTCACTTAATCGCATGCAAAGGCCAACGAGCATCGAGTCGATAAATATTTGCTTTTGTCAAAATATTCGTGCCTAGTCTCGGGCTCAAAACATTTTCCCATTTTATTTTCAGTTCCTCAGTTTCATTGCGTTTTTTTGGGGTTTTGCTTAATTTTAATCATTGCCTAGAAATTCGAGTCATCGGACTCGAACTTATTGACCAAAGACTTTTTATACCCTCAATCCCTTGAACATGGAAAAGCAGGGTATAATAGCTTTGTGAAAAATAGCAGAGGCGTGTATATATAGGTATGCCTGTCTAAATCCTTTCAAAAAAGTCTAAAAAGCACTTTAAACACAATCTGATGGGCGTACCGAACTCTATCAGAACTGTCGGAATCAATATTATATATCTGTGTATTCTGTGATAGCTGAAAGATTTATAAGTATGTGTAAGGGTTGGATCTTAATTCCAACTAGCATTTGAATCAGCTATGCTTATAATGTAAAATAGCACGACTAATGTATCAGAACTAAATAGGTTTAAGATCAATTTAAAACTATTTTAAGGTCTGCTCCAATTTCCAAGTCTTTCAGAAGTGGCCAGAGGCGACACTTCAACTTTAGCCACAAGATGATGATCAACTGGGGCTTAGTTATCATCCTCCTACTCTATATAGCAGATGAGATGACTGCGTCCCACCACAATCGGTCACATGTACGCATTGTGAACGGAAAATCCATTCATATTGAACAGGCACCTTGGCAAGTTTCATTACAATATTATAACAGACACGTTTGTGGCGGCTCTATTTTGAGCTCAACTGTAATTGCAACTGCCGCACATTGTGTGCAGCAGTTTAATGGCAAACAATTAAGTATTCGCGCAGGATCTACGTTTTGGAAGACTTCAGGACAGCTCGTTAAGGTAAAAAAAGTTACGCTGCATCCTCAGTTTACTGTGAGTCCTATCCAAAACGACATCGCCATTTTGCATTTAACTACGCCACTTCAGTTTAGTCGTGCCATCAAATCGATTCCAATAGCAAACGAAGCGCCTCCACATGGATCCTTTGCTTTTGTTTCAGGCTGGGGTGTTATGAAAGAGGGCACCGACTTAATTTCAAATAACTTGCAATATACGGAACTGAAGATAATGAATCGCAACTTCTGCAGTGATTCCGGATATAGCAAACATCCTAAAGTACTTACAGAAGGCACGCTCTGTGCTGCCGCCGACATTGCAACAGATGCCTGCCAAGGGGATTCTGGCGGCCCGCTAGTGGCATATGGAAAACTAGCTGGTATTGTTTCATGGGGCATCGGATGTGCTAGAATGGAATATCCAGGAGTTTATACCGATGTCTCATACTATAAGGACTGGATACAAAAACAATTGAGAACTAGAAAAAGAAGTACGACAGCAAAATCCACGACAAATGAGTTGAAAAATTAATTTCATTTATCTGAAAGTCTTATATATGATCGTATTTTATTTTCATGATCTGTATCATCGATTTATGTGTTTGCTAAAGTTCAACTTACCAACATTAAAATATATTTGTGTTTTTATATCCCTAGAAATGGGGGCATGACATGTATTCAAAAGCTATGGTACACCTCATTTATGTGTATATTAAAAGATTCGATCCACCAAGCTCGGCAAAAACTTGGGTATGCTTAAATAACTACAGTGATACTAGTTCAGAAAGCAACTATTGACTAGCCGATACCCCGAAAGCAATATGTGAACAGCCGTGCATTACTCCATTATAGGTTATTCTTCAAGAAACGTTGGCAAGCTTTTGTAACTAAATAATATCGGTTACGTTTTTGAAGCTAGTCAGTTAGCTTTGCATTTACTTTAATTAGTATTTTAAAGAATTTCTAAGTATACTTCGTAGTTTGTAGCATAACTTTTTGAGCAAAAATGGTACATATCACAGATAGATCAATGCTACCTCGCCTACTGAAATGGCCATATTAAGTATACGCTCATTCCATTTAGACGTGGTAAGCATCGAGTGTTGCGCAGTCAGCTGCGTTGATTCATAATTCATATCAATAGAAGTTAAAAATCTAAAAAGAACTTATTTCTCATACATGACTGATTGAACTCTATTGCTGACTGTAGTAACTAGGTAAAGCGTGTGCCTGAGTGGGGTCATAGGGTCATTGTATATAGCATTAAATTCTTCCTTAATTTGTTTCCCTGGCGTCTTGCAGTATTGTAACTGTGACCATGAAACTTAAGTCAATGGACTTGAACTCAATGATCGAAGACTGAAAAGGCTTTCGGGCATGCTTGCAGCAAAAACCAAACCCAAAACCCCAACCCCAAGCAGAACAAGCCAATTCATGTTTGTTATTTACGTGGTGGAAGTGTATGTGTCTGTGTGTTTTGGTTTGCATTCGCAATTTTAAACAGCTCCAACTACTTGACCATGCGATTTGACAGTGCCCCCATCAGCCACAGCCCCCTCAGGCATGCTCCTTCCGGGCGGGCGCCATCGCGTATTTATTGCGCACGGCACATGCGGAGCTCATGTAACATTTTATGCTTCTTGCTCCCCCCAAAGATACCATAGGTGGAGGGGGGCTATTTATGCCTCTGGTGTGTGTGTGCAGCTCTGTTTAGTTTTGGCCCACGTGCTTGGCATAATAAGAGCTGCCAGCTACCATCTGCCGACCGCTTCCACCGAGCATTTGGTTGCTGCAGGTTAAAAGCGCATTACGGCTGCAACTTCATAAATTGCGGGCGCAAAGCCAAGCAGCAGCAGCAGCAGCAACAGCAGCAGGCGAAAGCCGCAGAAGCAACTGCAACAATGTTTACATGCCAAGCAGTTGGTTAAGCATACCCACACTGAATCGTATCCCAATTCGACTGCGTTTACAAGCCCCAAATTCAAATCCCATACCCATTTCCAATTGCATTGCCATTTCGCACAAAGAACTGTGGCATCGCACCAAATGCAATTGTTGTCAAAGGACTAAAGCATAGAGCATAATTTTCCACATAGCCAAAAACTCATAAAGCCCATTAGATTCTGATATTTGATTTGAAAGGCTCCGTCAAAGGCAGCGTACTTTACAGATACTTAGCATGGAGATTCATCCAGTTCGATTTGACCTGATTTCACCTTCTTACCCGACAGACGCGGCAACTGACTGACTGCTTAATTCTCAATAAATCCACAGGCAGTAAAAGCTGAACTATGTTTTTACACCCACTCGATATAAAGATTCACAAATGTGTATAAAATGCAGCTAACTTCATACTCTGTTACAAATGGGCATCTATTAAGGCCAAAAGTGGTCTTTCAAACCGAAACCGAAACCGAAACAAAGAACAAGCGCCTAATTGTAGTAATGTTTTTGAATGTGTTTAAATGCATTTAGACTTGGCAAACAATATTTTATTTTTTACAATACAGTTCTATTAGTTCCATTAGATGTATATTAAGATTTAAATATATTTGTCTGGTTATAATGAGTGAGAAATTTGTAACCGCCTCGTCATCACGCGGCTTAGATCTAACAAACTGCGCTGTGAGAAGTCAAACTCTTTAAGCCAGCTTAGCAAATTGACCAGAACAAAAGATGCATAAAGTTTGAATTACATTTAAAATATTTTTATTATATCTTAATAGAACTAAGTGAATTCTGGGCAAATAGAAAATGATTTCAAATCAACTCAGTCTCAAAATACTGACGATATTCTAGAAGAGACCCACACGAATTGTATTGCAATGTGACGATAAACTAAGGCCTAATTCGCTACAAATAGTTGGAAAATACATCATGCTTTCATCATGTATTCATTTTAGTAGCTTCTGTAATTGTGACCGCCAATTATGCAGCATTATTTCTGTCAAGGGATGACAAATTCGTGCATTACGGAGAGATAGAGGACACTTATTCATGCTACGCTGTCGAAGTCTTAAGCCTAACCTTCAGCAACAGGCATTGATCGGTCGTATTTGAGTAGGGCTCTTAAGATTATTTCGAGTCCATTTATCATGATTTATAAATATTAATATTGATATTGATATTAGAAAAATGCAAAGTGGACAAACTTTTCAAGCATTCAATTCTTAATTAAGTTCTTAAGCTAGTTTTGATTTTGGTTTAGGTTCAGCCCTTGCTGAATGCCTTAAGTGTTAATTAAAGCAAAACATTCTGAAGAACGGGGTTGGGGGTATTTGGCAATTGATTGTCGACTTCGGCAGCTTAACAATGGTTGCTTGTATCCAATCTTAAGCGCAGCTCTTGCAATCGAACGCCACTTGACAACTCTCAACTGGGACGAAATTGATGTCTTTGTGTGCTTTGACAGCTAAAAAGCAGTTGCAGTCAATTGAAGTAGCAGCCGTCCGTCTGCCTGAGTCAATCGACATGAGCGAACTCATCCGGCACATGTCTGACGGCAGTCGGAGAAGAATTGCCAAACGCACACGCATAATTGACAACATTTCCGCGGCTGCTTTTGTTGTTGCTTGGCCATTGAAATCATTTTAGCTGAAACTGAAATTGAGAATCGCACTGGCTGCCAGTCGCATCGCCAATTGCAGTGCCATTGACAGCGCCAGCTATACAGATGCAGACAGACGAACACTGACAACCAAAACGGGTGCGGATGCGGATACGGATACGGATGCGGATTCGGACGCGGATGAGGATTCGGATGCGAATGAGTAAAGGATGCGGGCGTAGACATGGCAGCGCGTGGGTGTCATTATGACTCGCGTGGCAGCGACTGCTGTCGGCAGCTGCATTTCAGCCAGACTTGCATCCATTCATTCAACCATCCATCCAGCAGCCAGGCCGCTTGCCTCATCAATGTTTAGAACAATGCCATCAATTTTCGTATTGAATTTTAATCAAGTTGACGTTAGGGGAATATGATAATTAAAACAGCGTGCGCAGTTCCAGATGCTGCTAAATGCAACAAAATGACGTTCACGAACAAAACTGCTGTAATTTGGATACCCTGTAATTTTCTGCATGGCTTATGGTGTCAAAATAATCGAAAGATTCCATTTCCTGCTTCTATCTGCCGGCCTTAGCTTTACTCACCCCTTTGCATTTATATTGTCATAAAAGTGATATAATCTTTTCTCAAATTTTTAATCTACAAAAATTGATTAATAACACATAACGATTGCCTATGCTTGTCTGCTCCAATATCAAATTTGATACCAAAATGATTACAGATCAGAATGAAAAACTCAAACAACAAATAAAAATTGTAAATGAAAGGAGTTTTGTAGTTGTTCTAACCGCTAGCCATTCGTTTCCAAATGCAATACTTTGTTATCAGATTGATTGATGATTAAACTATATTCTAAGTTGCCGCTCACAGTACAGGGTCCGTACAGGGTATCATAGATGACATCAGTACACAATGAGTGCGCCTTATTTGTGTAACTTGTTTGGAGGCACATCCGAAAAGTTTGACGGTTCAATGCAACCCCGAAACAAACAAAAATCTGTTAAAGCTGTTGCTAACGACTGGTAAAAGTGAAAATGTTCTAAACAGGGCAACTCTTTTGAAATTCGCGTACAATTTGAGACCTCGACCCGCATAATGCGAACTGCAGGTGGGCGGCGATTCGCTAATTTGGAATAGCCACAAAGGTATTGCCGCCGTCTGGCTACTGATTGCAATTATTTTCAGTTTGGGATGCTGGCTACAGAGCCGATTCGAGTAGCCAGATAGCATTAATCTGGCACAGCCACCAGTGATAGAGGCAATGTTAACTCATTGGGGTTGGCTATGCCAGCTTCATATGAATTATTGAAGCATCATAACTTAATTAAAAGGCAAGGAATTTTTCATTTATGCAAATCAAAAAGGATTTCTGATTTCATTCACTTCATTTTCAGTTGATTTTTAACTTAATTTAATGATGGATTAAAATAAAATAAGAATTAAATATTGTTTATAATAATATTAATTACATTTTTAACTCTCAAGATCTCTTCAGGCTAGTAGCCAAAAATGTTGTATAACTTCTTAATAAACTCATAAATGTTTTTATTAGATTATATCTTGCATGTCTACCCACTAACAGTGATACGTAATGTAGGAGATTTTAAAATTCCTAAAATAAATAAATATCTTTCAAGAGCATATTTGATAGGGCAAGCCAATCTAATGCTTATAATAATCAACAAGACATCTGGAAGATCAAAATAGTTTCTTGTATAAACCCTTATCTGAATAGATAGCTTTCAACTTATTTGATTTTTGGGCACTATGCAGCTGCTGTCCTGTTTACAGACCTTATACAGCCGCACCTCAGTCAACTGCTGCTACAGCAGGTATCACCAGCGAAAGGTGGATAAAAAGGCAGCTACGACCTCAAAACCCGGTACCAAAAATGCACTCTTTCACGCGCATTACAAACGCCTGAATATGGGGGAGTAACTAGGCTGGGTTAGAGCGGTTGGCGGCAATTGCACCGTTAATTTGGTGTTATACACGCACACGCACACACACACACACACATACACACTCTCTCTCTCTCTCTCACGCGCACACAAAAAACAATTTTGGTAGCGGGCAGCGTCACCAAATGAATTCAATTAATTAAATTAGTTCAGCTCGCAGCTGCAGCCGCTTTTCGCTTGTAATGGGGGCACACAGATCGGATAAGGGAAATGGACGGATCAAGGTATAGGCAGGGGCAAGGGGCTGTTTGGAACTTGGGACAGTTGTCGACGCGGCCATTACGCAGCTGAATAAAAATTGCGCGCTGCGGTCAATGCTGTGCGGTGCAGTCGGCGGCGCTGTCGACTCAATTATCGCTTTTATGAATGGGCAGCAAATTTTGCAAAGCGCCACCGACGCGTCGTCTGCCTTGGCGGAACTTTTTTGATTACCCTGCCGTTTTATGAGTATATTGACTTCATGAGTATATTGACGCGAATCTGAGGCTACTGAAAAATCAAATTCGTTTCTTGCAACAAATGAAAATGGAGTCGACTCCCAGTAAAAAGCTACGTATATATGTTGCATTCTTGCTGCTTCATGATCGCAATTTTATTTTATTAACACTCAACAAAATATATTATTATGTTATATATATTAATATCAAAAACACATTGTGAAACTTTTTAAAGCATATATCTTGAGAAGCAATATTCTAGCTACAGATTAGTTATATATATAGATAAATAAAATATTTCTTGGAGTCAAAAAAAAATCAGAAACAGAAATATCAAATGAAAATTGAATATTTTGTCTTTTAAATATTATAACTCTCAGCTCAACTCTTAATTTAATGAAATATTTAATAAAAATATTTTTCAAATTGAGTTATTAATTTATTTATACATACACTAATTGACCAATTGATTTATTACAGAATAACGGTCCATGCGAACTAGAAATAAACATGAATTGAATAATAGAAAAGGGTAAGGGTATTCCCAAGGTGTGGCTGGAGCATCCGCAATTCCGTTCGTGTTACTGACTGCGCTTGGCATTTGCGCAATTTGTGCTTCGATTTTTCGCTTCGTATAATTACGTTAAGCGCATAATTAAGTTGTCCGACTGCAGGTAATAAATTATGAGCAGGAAAATCCTTTGCCAATATTTCTGTAACCGTTTTCGTATTTTATTTTTAATTTTAAAACCCTTTTTGTCAGGCGCGCCTCATTTGATCAAATTGAATTTGATGTGCAAGCGAAATGAAATTAGCAACATTTTTAATATATTTAATTTAATTTCCAGCAGCGCACAAAAATCTCTCAACCTCTCAACCTCTTGTTAAATGCCAACATATGCTCTGGGCCCTCTTTGTCACAAGTAAAATGTCAGCAAAAGAACAACAACAGCACAAAAAAAAGTATGGCTACAAAAAATGGGGCTTTACAGTTGGCGTTCATCCTGCCATGAATTACGGGGCGTCAAACTGTCAAGCACGCTCCCAGTCCAGCGCTTGACAGATGAACTAACGGCCTGGCCACACTAACTGCCTATATCAAAGCGTGTGTGCGTGTGTGAGTGTGTGGTATGGTTGTTAGCTTGCCCCCCACTCCATTTGTGACTATTGCTATTCATAAAAATTGCTCAATTCCGCACGCGTTTGCTATTTTTGTTGCAAGGTTTTGTTTCTCTTTATCACCGCGCCACTGCGACATCGTGAATGACACCAAACAGATGTGGGCGCCATAGGCACCACTCAGCATTCACAATTCAGTGGGTTAAAAGTAACCTAGCTGCCAGTTCCCAGCTCCCAGCTCCCAGCTCCCATTTTCCATCACCACCACCACCACCTCCGGCTGAGATTTTCATGCAAACAAGTGATATTTTTGTTGACAACTAAAACCCCAACAGAGCCAGCAAACAAATAGGTTGCAACTTCAAAAGTGTAAATGCATAACGATAAGTCGAATACCCATTAAATATTAAGCTATCAGCTCTTATGCCAAAACTTATCACGATTATTTAAGAATACTAAAACTCTGAAAGTATGACCCATCGACAGAAGCAATTCAAAATATTTTATTTGTTTCATGAAAATTAAGAAAAAATATTTAGAATTTTATTGAAGATTAAAAACAATATTTAAAAATATAAAAAGAATAAAAAAATCAACTATTGTAATATAATATCAGTAGAAATAATATTCATTGTATTTAATGTTTTCCTGAAAAATAAAGAAATAATTAAGACATTTACTCAATACATATTTCGTGTAAGTTACAACATATATAACATATGCATATGCTTTAAAAATAAACAATTTTATAATATTACCAACTATAGGATCTGAATTGTTCCTCTAGTACTCATATATGGATAATTTCTAAACTATTACAAACAAAATACTGGAAAGTTATCTTCTATTAAATTCATTTACAAATACTCTGCATACTCTCTTTATAGAGCACAAGTCGTGTATACCCTGCATGCCCAGCTATCAGGGTACAAGCATTTACGCTCAACATGAGATGAAAAAACGCAACGCGATGCGATGAGAAGACAACAAAAACAAATGTGGCTTGTGAACGGGTTAAGTGCCAAAGTAACCCTTACTCCCTGCGCTCTGCTCCCATACTCTTCCCTTAACAGTGTCACTAGCGGGCTGCCTAAGTCCCCAGCGCAGCCCCACCCTCCTCCGGCCCGCCTCTCTTCAAATGGCATCCAGGCAGGCTTAAAAGGCCGCCAGTTGGTTTTTCAAATTATACCTCGAAATTATGCAATTCCATGTGTGTAACTTTGCCTAACAAAAAATTTGTTTTGCGACGCTTGCAAAACTGCACGGCCATAAATAATATTAAATTCACTTTTGAGTGTTGCAAAAATTAAAAAAAAAATAACAGCCAGCGTTTACTATAGTTAAATTGCATCCCAAACGTTGCAGTTTGCTGAAAATTTAATGCAATTCTCGCACTGGGTACATGTACCAAATATAGTCAGGCCCCACCGACTGCATCATTCTCGCACACGCTCCAAAAACAGTCAAATGTGTTTCAAAATAAATCTTTTCGGATAAGATATGGCCCCATAACTCATAGGTCTTGCTGTGGAGGCGACTTGACCATTTAATTTAAATTAGTTAAATATTTCTTAATTAAAATATCATTTACGTCCGGCTATCCGTTCGTGTGTCCATTGTAGAGCGAAAATACCCTTTGCACTTTATGAAAGAGTATGAAACGTTCTGTTTATTTGTTATATTGCGAAATATGAAAATAGGTTTTTTCTATTGATAACGAGCGCTTGGCCAAATGCTGATTTTGCAAACAATTCTCCAAACTAGAGCGAAAAAAATATCTCTTAAGCTTTGATGTAAATTTTAATTTGTTGCTCATCAAACTGACTGCATATGTGTATTTTTATAAATGTATATATATATATATATATATATATATTATATATATATATATTATATATATATATATATTATATATATATATATATTGATAGTTAAAAGCATTGGAATCTGACCCCTAAATCTATGTATCCAAAGTTTGCCTGCTGATGTCCAAGTCTCAAGACTAAGCGCAGTAGGCTTCATTTCCCACATTTGCCAAGGCTTAATTAATTTGAATAATCTTCTCAATCAGAAACAACAAAAAATACTTCGAATTTCAAACAGTTTTTTCTTTGCAGGCTAATTTCTTTTGCCCCAATATAAGATATATGTTTAGTAGCTGCAACTCTATAGAATGTGTTACTTTGCCACTCGAAGGATGCTCAGTATTTTGCCGTATCGGCTGAATATGCCGTATCCAAGGCTGGGCAGACTGTTGTTCGATCGCTACCTGTTTGCCACCTGGCTATGCTTTCTGACCGAGTATCAACTGTTGACGATTTTTTTGGTCTATCAGCTAGTGGATGTGACCAATCCACTGGATTGGCTGCTCGAATTGGTGGACCAGGTTATCTTTTCCCTCTACACAGTGGCACGAGTGCAGCTGCTGGGCATCCATATGGCCACCTATGGCCTGCTGCTGTGCCGCTTGCATGAACGACTGCCCTCTTGCCACAGCTGGCGGCTGCATCGCCTGCAAGGGGAGCTGCCAATCAAGCTCTGCCAGCTGGTTGTTCTCATTAGCCTAGGTTACTTCAGCAGCTGGCTATATCTGAAGTATATGAGTGAGCTAGCTGTTGATGTGGACTTTAGCTATACCGGACACTATCTACTGATGAATGGCGTCTTCTGTGGCCTCGCCTACTTTCTGAGTGAAGATTTGTGCTTGGGAAAGGAAGTGTGGCCACTGCCCCTGATACGTTTCGAGACTGCCACGTGGCAATGGCTACGCTGGCATCACTTCGATTTCTCTTGTAGCTTGCCCCGATCTATGCTCTACACGGCCGTTTTTGCGGCCATTTACTGGCCCAACATGAGCGGCGACTTCAAGGCCAGCTTCCAGCTGATTGGCCTATCCACCTGCATAACCACGCTGATCACCGTCAAGCTGCATGCCATCAAGCGAGTCTTTGGCACAGTAATGCATAGCGAGCTGCCGCTGACTTTGCAGAAGCAGCCGCCGCAGCAGCAGCAAACCCTACCGCAACTGACACGGCAACATATGCGGGATCGGCGGCTGCCCGTGTCCTTGATGCTAAGTGTGAGCAATCAGCTCTATGGTTTTCAACTGCAGGTGGCCAGGGACTTCTACACGATCGTGTCCAGTCCCAAAGGCGAGACTTGCAAACTATTTCAGCTGCAAGGCTTTTTGGGCAGGCAGCCCAAGAACTGGACGGCATTGCGCAACGTGCTCCTGGGCAACATGAGGCAGTTCATGGATTTGCTGAACGACTGCCTGGATGCACCGGGAACGAAATGCAAGCAGTTGCCCACGCGTTACTATGCCGGCATGCGACGGCTCGCACCACCTACAGCAGTCCCAAAAGTTTGGAGTCGACGTTGCTGCGGCGAGCAGCCAGCGCCGGCTAAGCAACTCTGCAGGTCGCTATGGCAACAACTACAACTCAAGTTGCAAAGCTGGCAGCTGCAACAGAAGCTGCAATGCTTTTGCAAATGCTTCTTTTTCGACGCCACACATCTTATGAGATCGGATAAGCAAGATTGCGAACTGTGCGTGGGCCGGCCGTTGGTGTGGCTGGTGCCAGGACTCGTCTGCATTTGCGTGCGCTCATTGGAGGAGGATCGGCATGGCGTGCTGCAGCAGGATCTGGAAACTATCTTCAAGGCCCTGAACGACTTACAAAAACAAATCTTTGCAGTTCTCAGGCTGCTCCACCTGCAGCAGCAAGAGCCATGCGCAACCCTCAAAACGCTCTCGCAGACCCTGACGCTTTCTCTCAACAAAATGATCTTTCACTTCGGCGACTATCTGTCTTTCATAATAAACGATAAGGAACTGCAGCACACATTGGAGTGTCGTGAATAAAAACTTTCTAGTTGCATGATTTTTAAGTCTTTTCATTTCTTTTCACTATAAAAATAGGAAAATATTTTTTGATACAATTTTAAAGCGTTCTAGGCGGCTTATGGAATATTCATTTGGATATCAGTTTCTAAGTAGCAGAAATTTAAAATATACTCGAGTATATAGTTAAGAGTGCCTCCAATGCTACAGATTTGATTTGATTTCATTTACAGCTAGGCTCTTATTGCAGTAAAGTCAACTCGAGGAGAAACAATGTTGGTTCCAAAGAGATCCACTGTTTCCTGCTTCGAGAGCCCAACCTATAACTGCCAAATGGAAAAAATGGATCAGCGAACTCAATTAGGTTTTTTGCTTATATTAACAGATGTGTACTAACTTCATTCAAATCAAATGCTAAGCTGGATTAAAGAAGTCTCGAAAGGCACCTCTCGATTCTATAACGTCTCCCGAAAGCTGTCAATTCAGTTCAAACATAACTGAGAATGAAACAGCTCAAAAATTATAATTCTAAAATCAAATAACTAAGTATTCCACTATTTTTACAGCCAGCAAATAATACACAAAAGTTTTAAAAATTTTAGAGTTCTATATATTCAAAACTGAAACTCCGTCATCATACAACATATAATTTACAATGGATACACTGAACTATATGAAGCTAAGGAGTCGAGTTGTGCCATTGAGTCCTGCTAAGAGGAGGGCTGAGAAAAGGAAGAGCCACTTCGTATCTCCAAAGGGGGTTCAAGCAAGTAAGAAGCTTAAAGGTAACAAGGCTACCGGAAAATTGACGTTAAGTGAGGAAGACAGTGATGGTGATGTGATCTTTGTGTCCAATTCTCGAGATCCCTTAGAGTATATAGACCTGACTGTGTCCAGTCAGTCCCTTAGATATCTAGACCTGACTGGACGTGCAGACCAATATTAAAGTAAGTTTTATTGCGTACTCCTGCCAGACCTGATGCACTTATCCATGTTCCTTCAAGATTCCAATTTGATTTCTCAATTTAGTTACGGGGAATTTGCATTGTTTGTTGAAGGTATAATCATATTAGGAAGTTCGATATTTTTAATGAGGAAAGTTTTAAAAGGAAAAACAATTAGAATCTAAAATACGCAACAGCTGGAGTGCGGCGTTTAGGCCGAGAAATTATATTACCATTGTGAGGAACATGGACTGAATGCTTTGCAGCTCATAGAGCAAGAACTCGAATCAATAGCCTAGCAGTATTTTGTCAGCTTTCCAATGAATATTTGTCATTCAAATTGTTAAGCTTTATATTTGCCAAATATCATTTAAATCGATTTTGTATTTATTCGAAGACAGCTGAAATTTGCTTTGAGTCAATCTATTTTATTTGCATCTGGCCTCGATGGCGCCATCTTGCGGTTAGTGGCGGCAGCCATTCAGTATTGTGTGCACCTTTTGCGTCAAGCTGCGTCCCCTGCTCGTAAGCAACAAGTTTATGCAGCTGCACGCAAGTTGACATTTCGGCTCGGTCTCATAAATTTCATCTGGCAGCTCCTAAAACCCGCCGCACTGCCGCCCCGACACATCGGCTCGACAGATAAAAACTGGAAAACAGAAAGCACAAAACGCTGCCACAAGCCGCAAACATGCTGAAAAAAAAGAGCCACTGGACATTGGTGCGTTGCGGCCGGTCGAGCAGAGCAGCGAGGGAGCACAAAAAGGGGGCGGCGTTGCAAGTTCTAAGCACGTGTCAAGTGTGGGCCAAACTTTTAATTTGCACAACGTCCCGGTCAGGGCAGCCAGCCCAGAGCCTGACTGACGCTGAGTGACTGTCAGGCTTGTTAGTCCCTTTATAGCCCGGGGTACGCCTTGCTGTCTGACAATGTCATCAGTTGCAGCTGACGCAGCAGCAGCATCAGTAGCAGCAGCACCAACAGTGATACTGCCTCGAACACAGACCAATGCCACGGCTACTCTTGCTCCTGGCCCTGCACAGTAGCTATAGCAATAGCAGTAGCAGTAGCACTAACAGAAGCTGTGGCAGTTGCAGTTGCAGTTGTTCTTCTCCTCTTTTTTCGTATGTGTTTCGAATGTGCTGTCCCAGCAGGGTGTTTGAGGCTACTGCTCCAATAACAATCCCTATGCAACAGGCTATATAGACGACAGTAAAAGAATTTTCAATTATTATAGTATCCATATATACAAGAGTCTGGCTACTATAACTTGTTCTAGATTCTAATCTAGATTCTAATTCTAGTAATTCAACACTCTACAATCATCTTTGAGTATCCTTCAAAATATTAAAAATAAATCGTGCAGAGAATCAAATGAGCTTCAAAGCTAAAGTTTATTGAGAGTAAACAAATGTCGTTCAGAGCCGAGCTTAAGCCCTCTGCAGTGCAGCGGGTGGCACTGACAAGTGGTGTGCGTGTGTGTATTCGAGTGTGTGTGTGTGTGTGCCTCAGCGCAGATAAAGCGACGCTCAGCGCTCACTCAGACGCTGTCAGTTAGCCAGAGCTGGTCAGGCAAACAGCCAGCCAGGCAGGCAGTCCGTCAGGCAGTCCGTCAGGCAGTGCGTCCGTCACTCAGGCGAGTCCGTGAGTCACTCAGTCAGCTAGCCAGTCTGCGAGTGCGTTCATTTACAGTTGCCTTCGCCCCATCAACAATTTCATAGCCTACTCATGCGTCATTTGCGCCGCCTGGTGTTAAATCCGTTTGGATTTTTGTTTTGCTGATTGCCGCACGCCTCAATGACATTTCATTTATTAAGTGGCGCTGCCTCCGCTTCTTGTTTATTCCTCTTTTGCTTTTATATATAAATGTATTTCGTCAACTCAGCGCGGCCAGCAATTAACTATGCAATACGCTGACCTCACCGGCTGCAGTGCCAACTCGAGCACCTGATTGTGTCAGAGCCCAATCCACGGACCCCAATCGAAAATGCCGCATCACGTTGCCTCTGAGTGACGCCTTTGATTTGTTTTGCAAGTGTGTTGTTATATCCGCTACAAAGGAATTTGCATTTCAAATGAATTACTACGCCCCGAGAAATATCAAACCAAAAGCAACAAATAACAAAAAAAAACAACTGGAATCATGTTGTGAACAGGAGCTGGGCCTGCTGAAATATAAATGTTAATCCAGGCAGCGTCAATTGCAAAACGTTCAGCGCTGTTGACAGCATCGCCCAGGACAACACTCGACACCCAACACCCAACACACAGCACACAGCACACAACACCCTTCGGTGCACACAATCCGATGAGCGGCCCATTGGCCAAAGCCTGGGCAGTATGTCAACGGCTTTTTAATTGATTTTTATGGGCTGCAGTTTTTGATTGTGCTGATTGACGCATCAAATGAAGTGACTTCAGAGTTCGAGTTCGGGCTTGGGCTCTGCTCCGAGTCCTCAGTGCTGATCCAGATTCCCTGGCGCTGCTGCTGCTGACTCTGTTGCCATATCAGTAGCGGCGCAAACAACACACTCAGTTGCTCATACACAGCAGACATGAAGCCGGCAGTAATTAAATTTGTCAGTCACACAAAACGTTGCTGCAGCGCCCAAAGAAGTGGCAAAGTGTACAACGCGTCGTATGCGTGATGCGATTGCATGCGATGCCATGCGAATACGTATGTGACTGTATGTGCGTGTGTCTGTCTGTGTGCCTCTGACAAACAATGCCACGATGCCAACAGAGCTGCATAAGTAAGCAAGCCAAAAGTGCAAGTTAAAATCATGTTCAGCTATGAATATCATCTCATACTCATGGTCGACTCTTAGAGAGAAAAATAAAATAATAAAGTAATAATATTAAAAAGGCATTATGAACATTTTTATTTTTAATTTTCTATAAAAGTTTAGTCCTCAAATTCTAAAGACTTAAATTTTTGCTTTTTCAATATTTGATTAACATTTGATTAAAATTAATTTTACATCAGATTATGTAATATTACTGTCTAGTATAAGACAGATTGCAAATAAAAACAGCAAAATTTTAAAAATATATATACAAGTTAACACATAACATTTAATATAGGGTATTTCATAAGTTTATAATCAACCCTCGCTATCGCGTGTTTCGTAAGTTAAGAAACAGCCCTCGCAATTGCGACACTGCATACTTTGTATCAGCGCGCTATAACTGCAATGGTCAGCGGCGGTAACCAGATACTTTTGTTTACTGCAAGAGTTTCCGTTATTGCCTAAGATTGCTGAGTCGGCTTGCCGACCATGACATTGTGGTGTGATGCGAGTTTTGGCTTAGCTTAAGTGAAATATTCTATGTAGCTAAAAATCAGTTTTGTATTGAAGTTTGAAGAATAAACCCGCACTACTCCGGCACACCGCCGTAATCAAATTGTTATATTTCTGATCATTGCTGAGCCACAAGGCCAGTTAATAGAAAAGGGGGTGAAGTCAAACCCTCCAACATAATCATCATAAGAAGATTATAATTACCCGATCAACGCTGGACCTGCCACCGACGCCTAGCTCATCGCTGGACCAGCAACTTATTGATTAAGACTATAAATACCCGATCAACGCTGGACCTGCCACCGACGCCTAGTTCATCGCTGGACCAGCAACATATTAATTGGCGCCCAACGTAAAAAAAAAAAAAAAAAAAAAAAAATTTTTTTTTTTTTTTGGAATTTAAATCATGTAAGTGGATACTCCAGCCAACATTTTTTTTCAAACACAAAATTTCTTAAATTTACTTTATAAAAAATTTGTTAGTACTAGTGAGTATTTCGTATTGCAACAGATTAGATTATAATAATCAGAACCAAGTTTCTGAAATACGTGAGAGTGGCTGCTCTGAGAATTTAGGCTGATAAAAATACTTAGTGTTACTTTCTATGTGTCTAATTCGACCCATCTTTTGACGGCCCGTTTAATTTTTCGCGGCCACTGGCCTGCGCATGCCACGGTTCAGCCAATATAGAAGCCCTCGCGAGCAATCTAGCGACTCAGATTCCGACTGTGACACTCGTATCAGAGTTCCGTCTACAAGACTTATACCGGCAGTTCCTCCACCATCAGATAGAATGGATCCAGATCAGCTTAGGGAAGTAGTAAGAACGGCCATCAGCAATGCCTTAGCCGAACAGGCCGCTGCAAACCAGCAGAGGGAGCAAGCATTGACTCAAAGAATTAATGAGTTAGCTAAACAAATAGCAGCAACAAGCTTTGCCACCCCACAAGTAGTAGCATATTCTGCTATAGAAATTAGAAACGATATTCACTGTGACGAGCCGCTAGATGCCGTCAAGTGCTTACCTGAGTTCGCAGGAGCACAGGAATCTTATGTATCTTGGAGGCAGGCAGCATTAGCCGCTTACGAGATCTTCAGACCACATAATGGCAGTTCTCGTCATTATCAGGCTGTCATCATTATAAGAAGCAAGATTAGGGGCCCCGCAGACGCGGTGCTGGCCTCATTTGGTACTGTACTGAATTTTGATGCGATAATAAATCGCCTAGATTTCACATACAGTGACAAGAGACCAATTCATGTCATTGAACAGGAATTAGGTACCTTGAGGCAAGGTGGCCTGTCCCTGCTTCAATATTACGATGAGGTGGAGAAGAAACTCGCTCTTCTCACTAACAAAGTTAACATGTCATATGAGCCGGCTTTAGCAAAGGGCCTATGTGAAAAATTCCGCGACGATGCGTTGCGTGTGTTCATATCGGGTCTCAAGCGCAGTCTTACAGACGTGCTCTTTGCAGCAAAGCCCAGAGATTTGCCTTCAGCACTAGCTCTCGCACAAGAAGTCGAGTCAAACCATGAAAGGTACGCATTCGCGGCTAACTTCGCAAAAAGTCTAGAAGACAAAGAGCGCAAGCCGCATGCAAAAGCACAGGGTCACCAACAGGAGAGGCATTCGCAACAAGCCGAAACACAAGCTAGCGGTACAAAGAATCCGCACTTTAGCAAGCAAAGCAGGGCCCCAGTGCAGTCTGACCAACGAAGCAGCAGGCAGCACAATAATAATGGCGCACCGGTGCCCATGGAGGTCGATCCTTCCTTCTCAAGGGTCTTGCAGCCCACTCAGGCCCCTGCTTACGCGAATAGGAAGCACCCCGCATCTGACCGCACAAGCGGTCAGAGGAATCAGCAGAGGCTGAATCACGTCACACAAGACGTGGGACAGGGGGCAGAGGCGTATGCTGATGCCGCCTCTAGCGCAGCGGCACAAATCAATGACGATAGTTATGACTCTGAAGCCCTCAATTTTTTAGGAGCAAATCCCTGCTACCCGTCATCAGACGAAGAGTAGCAGGGACTGACATGCGATTCCTCATAGACACGGGCGCGGCCAAGAATTTCATTCGGCCACACGAGGGGTTGAAAGGCGTCCGCTCGGTAGAGTCCCCCTTTAAAATTCATTCCATTCACGGCGAGACACAAATCACACACAAATGCTTTGTTTCAATGTTTGGGTTAAAGGCAACCTTTTTTATTCTGCCGGACTTATCAACTTTTGATGGGATTGTAGGCCTTGACCTGCTAAAGCAGGCAGCTGCTTCGCTTTGTCTAGCTTCAGGACAACTTAAGTGGGGTACGGAGGTCGAACAAATCACCTTCCACACGTGCAAAAATGTAAATTTCACGAATGTAGACTGTGCAGAGGCATCCCCTTTAGCTAGAAGTTCTTTTTTGAAAATGCTAAAAGCTAGACAAAAGGCCTTTGCGGACCCAGACGAGGCGTTGCCGTATAACACATCAGTCGTGGCTACCATTAGGACCACAGATGAGCAACCGATCTATGCCAAGCTTTACCCATATCCAATGGGAGCAGCTGATTTCGTTAACAAAGAAATCAAAGATCTGCTAAAAAATGATATAATTCAAAAGTCCGTCTCTCCCTACAATAACCCAATATGGGTAGTAGACAAGAAGGGTACTGATGAAGCAGGCAATAGGAAAATGAGGTTGGTAATGGACTTTCGTAAACTTAACGAAAGAACCGTGCCTGACAAATACCCTATACCAAATATATCAATGATATTGGGGAATTTGGGAAGAGCCAAATTCTTTTCAACATTAGACCTCAAGTCTGGATATCACCAGATCATACTCGCTGAACGCGACCGTGAAAAAACCGCTTTCTCTGTGAACGGGGGGAAATACGAGTTCAAAAGACTCCCCTTTGGATTAAAGAATGCAGCAAGCATCT